AGACCTATGAGTAAAATCACGAGTCCCATTTTCATCGACCGCTGTTGCCCATGGTGTAAATTTCTGCGAAAAAAACGCGTTCTGAAAACGCATTTTTCCATAGCTGCGAAACGCGTTAATGCTGACCGGTTTGACGCGTTTCACATCTGCTAAAACAAACGCTGTGTAACGATTGTTTTTGTGAAAAATTTCGCAGCGTTTCTCAAACTGTGGTGTCGTAAATTCTCAATGGAAAAAAAAATTGAAAATCGTCAATGACTTCATAGATCTTGAATTGCAGGTACAATTTATGTATTCGCTTACATTTTTCATAGGCCTTTAGAACTATAACTTACATGAATTTTGATGCAGTCAAGGCACGGATTCGAACACGAGAACATAGGAGTATAAGACATGTACACAAACCGTTCAACTAAAATAATCTAATGATATAAGTGTTTATTCTACTGTCATTTAGAGTCCCGCATAAACTTACTAAATTAGATTTTCAGTTTCCGTTCCACCGAATTAAAAATTATCATTTCTTTGGTGCCTATGTCCAATTACGAGTGTGGTCTTTTCTTGATACATTTTTTATTTAAACTCTTTCAGATTTAAATTTAGATACACAATAGAAACGAATTTAATCGACTTACACTGTATTTTATATATAAAAAATTAAATTTCTTATATATAAATTTTAAAAAATTTAAAATTTAATCTTTTATTTATTTTCTTGATTAATATATTTTTGTAAATGTAAATCCGTCATCGTTTTATCCAATACATCAATAAATGAAAGGAGTTTTCTTTTGTAAATCGAATCTCTTTTATTAAAAAGTCACTCTTACTTCAACAATGTACAAACTAAAATAATGTTTACTAGTATTGTACACAGTATCATTAGCTATTATCAATTAGTTCGAGTATGAACAAAAACTATATTTATTCAAATTATAGATAACGCGATAATTCTTTTGTTCACAAATAACCAAAGAGAGTTACTATACTAATTATATTAGTATCAGTCTTTACTAAATCTTTTCGAAATGCTCAATATTTAAAATGATTCTTAAGTAAACCTTACGAAACATGTTTTCTTTCAATAAAAATGTGGTGAAATGAGTTTTTAAGTAAGCAGAATATATTTTTGCTACACTTTGATGTTTTACATTAGTCTAACTTCGAAATAAGTCTAGATAACAGCCTAGCAGCCTAAAAATTTAGAAGACTTTGATTTTAGTCTTGCCTTCATAAAATCCTTGGTCATGATTTTCACGTAAAAATAGTGCAAGTAGCAAAACTTTAAGTGCTATTTCATATCATTTCCAAAGTAATTTTAAAGAATTTACTTTGGTTAACTCATATGCTTTGTGTTGGTGAATTTCTGCAAGATTCTGTATGCAGAACAGATATATTTTGCATCATTCCAAGCAAAAACAATCCAACATACATTTGAAAAAGGAACGCGTTCCACCTTTCCCTCAATCTGTACCTGTGAAACGCGTCGCCTCTCTACCAAAATGCGTTCGACAGCATTTGAATTCGGAAACGCCTCGAAACGCAATCTTGAAAAAAGCGTTTCGGATCGTTTCAAAAAACGATGGTGGCAAAACGCATTTTATGTAAGTAAGAATGCTGCGAAACGCGTCCTATATTGCAAAAAACGTTGCGAAACGCATGCTACAACCTCGGAAACGCGTTACGCAGTCCGTTTCCTTCAATATTTTACTCCATGGGAACTCGGACGGTTCAGATCGTAGCATATCTAATAGAATCTCTAAAACGTGTTCAGCTTTTCTAAATAGACTTTCGATTACATATAATTATACATCCAATTATATATATATATATACTGTCCAAAGTGTTTTTGAATAGATCGTGTTTGTATTCGATTGAAAAGAAAAAACTATTCATAAGTACATACAAAATACAATATTCGTAAGAAAAATGTACGTTTCTATTTTTTTTCTGTATACTTATTACAATATGGTCGAAATGGATCAGTTTGCGGATCTCTTTCATAGATTGGACATATACAATTACAACTTGTTTGTCCATTACATTGCATTGTACAACCTGAACATAGATAAACTTTCTTTATGTCAGCTACCGTTTTCAATGCGGTTGATTGTGTAATACACCGGTTATCAATAATTGAACAACCACTATGTACCCAATCACCTTCAACGTCATAATCTATTAAAATATAGATAAAGTAGAAGCAGGCCCCGCACGAGGGCCCCAGGATTGGGGGGTGTGGGGGCTCCAAGGCAATCAAGATCGAGGAACACAATTTTTTTCACCTCAGATCTAATCTTAATCTTTTTGTATTGACCTAAAATGTAATAATTTTTCGCGAAGCGACAACTTTTTGCAATCTTCTTAAAAAATTCGACTTTTTTGCGGCAAATTTTAAAGAAGAGAATTCGAGTCTAATGTGAGAAAATTTCTCAATACTGTCGTTATGGCAGAAGAAGAAGAATACCCCGCCTTTCGGCTACCTTGCGGTATAGGGTGCTGTCCGAGGACAGTTTCGAGAAGCCCGATATTTTTCCTACATCTATTACTAAATGTAGCTCTGGACAGAAGGCCAGCCTGACTCAGAGTTCTTCTCGCTTAATTTCTTAAGCTCCCCATACATACTGACTAACCACATACTAGTCACAAGGACCATTTAGTGTATGTCAACAACGTAGTCAATTTGTTATCGGATGGGTGGTCCGAGACAAAACAGCCGTTAGTGACTTGTCCAAGGTCATTCTATGACTGATGGAGCCGAGGTTCGAACACAGTATCTTGTGGATATGTGTCAAACAACTTAACCATTCAGCCATAGCGGCGTCGTTATGGCAAGCGACTACTATGGCGAAAATTGTTCTATATCAAGCTGTTTCAAAGGAAAAATTGAGCAAAATAAGAAGTTTGTCTAAGTAGACTGCGATTAAACAATTGTTATTTTTCGGAAACCGAAGACTTTTTTCAGATTCATGAAAAACTCATTTTGTTCCTTATGTTGCTCAAAAGGAAAAAGTGTTGCCAGAGCTCTTATGAGGGAACACTCCCAGGGAAGCTCCGCTTTTGACGTGATATTTTGCCCATATGTAGGCCTTAGTGAGACTAGAAAAACTTCTAAAGGGTTTGGGTTTCTATGGCTTTCTTGTTGAGATGTGAAGTTGATATCTTCTCTAACAGTGCTATGATTTATATTGGAATACGATGCAATGTCAATTTTTTTCACAACGTTATGAAATATAGACTTACAATTTTTTTTGCGTGAACTGCATTTTATAGTGGCCATATGTGACATACTTTTTTAGCTCTGACAAGGACTCCTAACCACACATATCAAGCTTGCTTGTCTGACACTAGCTTGCATGAAAGAGGGCTTCCAAAATGAAGCCTAGTGTCTTTAGACGAGTCATGTATGATCATGCGCTTAATTTAATAAGGGACAGTATTGACTTTATTCTCTCATACTGATTCTTTATGCTTGGTACGCGAGCGGCTATTTAATGGCTCATCCTGACTAGTTTTTTTTGCAGTCAAAGATATTTGCTTTAGTCTGGAAAAGTCGGTCTGCAAAGAGAAAAATTGCGACAACTTAACTTTTATCAAGTGTAGTTAATGTCGCAAAGAGTTATGTTTTGAACATATTTTCCTTGCCTATCACATGGACTAATTCATCATATTGTCAAAGTTCAGTTGTTCTGGTTACATTCCTTACTTTCACTTTATGTTAGTATTCACATTTGTTCATGATACATAAGGATTTCAGCATATACTCAATAAGACTGTATTGCACATGCAGGAACTTATGAAAAAAATAGAGTTGACCTTCAAAATCTTTGCTAGAGCTAAAAAAGTGTGTCACATATGGCCACTATGAAATACAGTTCACGCAAAAAAAACTGTAAGTCTATATTTCATATCGTTGTGAAAAAATCGACATTACATTGTATTCCAACATAAATTAAAGCACTGTTAGAGATGTGAACTTCATCTCTCAACAAGGAAGCCATAGAAATCCAAACCCTTTGGACGTTTTTCTAGTCTCACTAAGGCCTACATATGGGCAAAATATCACGTCGAAAGCGGAGGTTCACCTAGGGATGTTCCCTCGTTAGCGCTTTCGTCGCCAAAGACGGTCACGCTAGTGACGACTCTCGGAAAATGAAGCTCTTCAAAAATAAGATCGGAGTAAGATTGCTCTAAAAGCAGAAAAATCGCAGATATTTTTAGGCCGAGTACGCTCGCGTAGTCACGTTATCACGAAGCGAAAAATTTCAACTTCTCTTCGGAATTTTCTAGCAAAAAATTCAAGAAAAATTCATCAATTTTTTGGCTATGGATGAATAATTTTTAATTATTGGGGGGGGGGGGGGGTACACCCCCTACACCCTCCCCCCACTTTCGCGGGACCTGAGTAGAAGTTATCCTTCTAGGAGATCTGTGGACAAAAAAACTACAGTTTTTTTGACTACTCTTTTATGATTAAGAAATCTTGAGTAGCTTACTTTCAAACTGAATTCCATTCTGGTCTCCAATAATATTATTCAATATATACCCAATCTGACGACGTGCAACAATACGAAAACTGCCTGTAGTATGATTTCGTTCGTACGCCAGTGGTACCTCGGACGTTATTTCAACTACATTTTTACCATCTCTGAAATATATAAATACTCTAGTAACATGGGATAAACAGAGTACTAAGTCACCTTGTTTACCTGTGAACTACTGCTATGGAACATGCACCCAATTTATGTGAACCTACATTACACATTTTAAGTAAATCACTATCTGAGACAATACCAGCTCGACATTGATCACTACCATTTAATATAATCGTGTCATCGTTTACGATATAATTCATTATGCCATTTATAAAATAACCATAAATAACTTTTGCTTCTAATTGCATGTTGGCACGAGTCACTCGTATTTGTTCAGCTTCTTGTTGACGTGCTAATGTCATCTGTTGTACACGTGTTTTTATAGCACGTTCTAAATTATTTTTAATTGTACCATTTTGAATTAAATTATACCATGGAATATATTTCACAATTGAAAGTAACGCTGGTGCAAATACGATTGTTTGCTCCCATTTGACTGCATCATTAATCATGAGAACATCACCGCCAATGCGATGATCGACTAGTTTTCTACGACGTTGCCAATAGTAATGTTGAATACACGGCCGCTCAGCCACTAAGTCCTGTTTTAAATTCATTTCCAATGATGAAAGTGACATACTATCTGTAAAATCGGTTGCATCCAATAAACATTTTTTAAACTGAACTTGTTGTTCAGTCATACCACCGACTTTATTTGAAACTGTAATATGTGTGCCCCAGACATCGAGAAAACTGTTATAAAGCGTTTCATCGTATCGAGAAGTTAGTTGATTAATAGCTTGCTGTGCATATCGATTCAATTTTAGTTTTGTATCTGGTACTGCGACTGTATATACTACTTTTAAATTCTGTGAGATTGATGTAGCTTGATTGTCTTTAAAATAGAGATCAAAAACATGAGAAATATTTTTTGTTCTTGCAAATTGACCACCACTCCACCCGCCTTCTTCATAACCACGTAGCCAAGTATCGACCAATTCATTTTCTGTGTTGAATATACGAACACTAACACCATTATCGTTATCTGATGCCTTGGTTATTTCAACTTCATTTGGTATATAGAATATTTGACCGGATTCAACATCTGTCCACTGTTTACTTCCGTTGTCAGTCAGCTCTAGTGCTGGTAAAAGAATGTCACCTGTACTAATATCAATTGCCATACCGACGACTTGAGGTAAACGTAACACAACATTAGGTGACTCACGACGTTGACGTTGTAGTTCAGTCTCTAGTGTCACAGAAGAATTAGCTAAAGTATCATTTATCTCAACTTCCCATTGTTCACCTGGACAGAATGAACCGTTGAAACCAATAATAGGGCAAAGAGCAGATCGAGCCATTAACAGACCAGACAAAAAGGGATTTTCAGTGTAAACATTTCTGATTGAGAACAGTAGCAGTAGGAGACAACAAATAACACTGAACATTGTATTCTATTAGTTGTGAAGGAGCACCAAAGCAAGTAACTTATAAGAATTGTAGCAGAAAGAAAAGTTTGGAATTATTTACCTTACCTTGATCGATAGTTCTTTTTCTCTCCTCGTTTACAAATATGTTTAATAATCAACACAATCCTATTTTAGGAGAATACAACTTTGAATGATGAATACTTTTTGAGTCGTATTTTTACGGCCTTCACAAGTCTTACACTCTGTCTTGGTAAATGTTAAAAAAAAACATTTTTAATGACTTCATTCATTCAACTGTTAAATTAGTTCCTCTTGTTATTTCCAAGCAAAAAGAAATAAAATCAGTTTCTTTTTTCACGAATAATATAATCGTCGCCATTCGTTACAAGAATAACTCGCAAACATTGTTCCTTTACTTCCTTTCTTTTTTAATATCCGAAATCAAGCGAAAGAAAAAAAACATCTCGAAATCTGAACTTTTAAGTGGTTTATTCGTCTTTGGTTTATTCGCAAATGTCCTGTAGGATGACTCGGCATAAGAGTACTTCCTTTCTATATTATAAAAATAAAAATAATTTTATTCTTAATACCGAGTGAATATTTTATTCAAACGAAAAATATCAGAAGCAAGGTAATGTGGGTGTGGATGGCTGTGGAAAAACGAAAGGTCTACATCTACACCCACATCCCTTAATGACACGACTACTTTTCTATATGAGTGAAATACATTTTTATTCTCTCCGCCAGTACTGACCCATCTACTTGAAGGTTCTAATAATTTGTGTCGTACACATATCAAGGAGCAGCGCAAAGAGAAACGCACACATTGTCTCACGTCGTCACAATTTTTCGACTACAACCGTCTCCATCTACTATTTTTAAAATGTTGTTGTCTTGTTTATAATGTGTTTCTGTTGAAATGAAGAGCAGTCATGATCATGACTATGACGGTACACAGAAGACGGTAGCTTGTTCTCATTATATCTAGCTTTGGTAGAAAAGAAATAAAAAAATGAGTTCGACACCACATACTATCTTTGAAAATAAAAAGCAAAGGGCAGTCGGCCTTTAGATCTTCTTCTCTTGCTTTCTTCAACCTTCTGCAGTTTATAGATAAGAACGTATGCAAGAGAGTACTGTTATAATAGCCATAAATAAAGTATATTACTTTACAGACATACTTCATTCGAACTACTGGTGAAAGTGAATACAAGCAGTCGACTAAGATCCGTAAAGAATATAAAGACTTCTGATGATAGATTTACCAGTGTCACACTGTGCAAGCATGGCTATTACAGTCGTGCCGACCTCTGGCGGACTGGGCGCTGAGATCCGGGGTGTTGATTTGTCACGTAAGATGGACGCGTGCATGTTTTCACAAGTGTACGAGGCCTGGTTGCAATACTCTGTGCTTCTTTTTCGAGAACAACATCTCACAGATGACGATCTGATCGCATTCAGCCAGAATTTTGGTGAATTGGATTGGGCTCCTGTGCAGGTACTAAGTAATTCCTAACCTCACACACTTTTCCTCGCTAACTGCATTCTTTTCAAATGGAAACATTCGATCCCTCTAAGCTTTTTTTTTTTATATAAATACTACAAGTAATGCTCATCAACAGATTCGCTGGTTCCTTTCTGAAAAAATGGGACTTCCATAGAATAAAATACCATGGCCTTATATAATGTTTTCACACATAGTTACCTTTTAAGTAGCCTTCTATTGAGGTCAACTTTTAACCAATTATTAAATAAAAATTTTAAAAAATTATAAGAATTAATTATAATTAATTAATAATTACGAAAAATGAAGTATTTTTATAATTAATTAATTAGTTAACATGGCCTTCTAATGGGAGTGACCCTCTAAAGACCTCATTCATAAGAAACAAAAACGCCAGTTCTGAATCAGCTAGACGGACACTCGGTTGCACTCTAGAAGTCGAAGATAGATGAGCTGAAAGTGATATGTCGTATACTTTACTTTTAAAAAAAGCAACTGAGATGCCTTCAATCATAGGACACCTAGTATAGTTTGGTCGCTAAGGATAACCGAGCCTTACAGGTGAAGCCAGAATGTCGGGCTCACTTCTCTTGATCGGGAGAATTGCATAAAAGCCCTATAGACGACTTTGTTTTTGCACTATTACACATTTTTCTCGGAATCGAGGTAAAAGTTCGAGAAAAAACAAGATATATGTTGATGAAATGAATAGACACATTTCTAACTGGCGGTAGCATAGGGGGTTTGTTTGTGAAGATTAGGAATGAAACCCACGAATCCACGCGATTTTATGCATCAGTAAGCAGACTGTTACGGTTAGTCAGATTGCACAGTGCTCTCTCTCTCTCTTTTCGGAATTGTTCAGTTTTTATTGGTCGAGAGCGTTCTGCATGTTTCGCCAACTATTATTCCGAGTTTCTTCGAAAAATTTTGCTGCTGCTGCTGGGTGCTACAGGGAGATTCCGTTTTTGTAATATAAGTGACAACACTTCACAAGTTGCTTAATTGTATCGCATCTATTGTAGGAGACTGGACGACGATTTGTGCACGATAAACCAGAGATATACATTGTTTCCAATGTGATAGAAAATGGCATACCAATTGGAAGTCTCGGAGCAAGCGAGTTGGTCTGGCACACAGACATGTCTTATCTAGAGGTGCGTAGCAACTATTATTGAACCACTTTATAAGATCTGATCTGCTGGAGAACAACCACCCCTAATTCTGCCAGGAAAAAATTCACTCTCAATATTTTATATGTAGCTCCGCTTGCCAACGTCGCAGTTGGCTGAATTTGATTTGCACGATAGAGCAATCATTTCTGTATCAATTTGCATGTAATTAATAAAAAACAAGGCTACTTAACTTTTGCTGATGAGAGGCATGATAAGACAATCTAGCTACATTATCTTTGAATTCTAATCTGTTCGCTGGTGGATACAGAGTATTTGTGGTACATGCGATAGCATGTTGCGCTACTGGACCTATTCTAATATGCGTGCCATGCATTTTTTGTGCATCCAACAGTATCATTCACAGAAGAAACATTGAGCACTCTTAAAATAAATATGACTTGATGCAGAAGATGAGCTCTATTCAGAATACATAATACTGAAGCTCCGATCATCGGGATACACGATTATATAGAGGGGGATACTAATAGAATCGATTTTTCGTCTACTCTATCCGCAAAAACTTCTACTGCCGTTTCACTCATAGAAAGGAAGTGCAGTGCAATAACTCTATAACATTGTGAAAAGACTTATCCAGGCAGAAGTAAAGACGTTTTTATGGCTTTCTCACTTTGTAAGTTTCAAACTCCCTAAAATTGAGTCAGATTAGGGCTCTTATCGAAACATTCTCAGAAATTCTTCAGCTTTTCCAATAAATTTTTAGACCACTACGCGAATATGAAAAAAATTCGACCCTGTAGATCCTTTCACAAGCGTAGAACATAGTCAAATCTCGTCATGTCTATATTTTAGTATAAGTTTTGCCTAAGCTTCAGTTTTGTATCAATCTTCTGCTAGAAATAACGAAGCCAATGCAGATCGTAGATGTGTATATGCTAATTTTCGTTCAGTACGCTCATAAAATACATTTTCAGGAGCCACCAACTGCAAGCATACTCTATGCGCTAGCAGTACCTTCAGTAGGAGGCAACACGTGGTTTGTTAACATGTATTCGGTCTACGAGGCCCTCCCAGAGGATCTCAAACAGCGTATCGATGGTCTTCTGATCAAACATGATGGCACGTACAACAGCGGAGGTTATTTGCGCCAGGGTGTTACTGCCACTGATGATCCAATAACATCGCCAGGTACAGTGTGGTGACAGAGAATGAGCAGGCTTTCAGCAGCTGTTGGCTGATCCAGAACTATTGCTTATTTCAACTACATAGTATTTGCTTTAGGTGCTGTTCACCCACTTGTATGCACGCATCCTGAGACAAAGCGGAAGTACTTGTACCTGGGTCGTCGCCGTAATGCTTACATCATGGGACTGAAGTTAGAGGACTCTGAGACCCTTCTAGATGAACTCTGGAGCCGCATCACTGGACAACTGTCGTCACCATCCATCGAAAAAGGACCATCAGGAACAGAATCTCCAGATCGGCCGTTCACATGGTTCAACGAATGGAAAGTAGGTGATTTAGTGCTGTGGGATAATCGCTGCACAATGCATCGCCGAGATGCCTTCGATCCAAACGAAAGACGATTGATGCACCGCACACAAATCAAGGGTAGTATCAAGCCCTCGGCTTAGCTTTATTACAGTAATTATATATCACATAATTGCCTCAATAAAAAAAAATGTGAAGATATCCAGAGCAATTTGACAGAGAAATGGTGTCTAGAGCGCTGTGTATTGAATGATACCATTTTTCATGATAGCCAGACGGAGAATGTTCTATTTCTCGGTTCAGCAGGAAGATCCTGCCGAGTTTATAAACGTTAACCATAGAGACTATCATTGTTTGCGATAGTGAATTAAGGATGGCTGTTTTATAACACCTATTCTTCAACAGAAGAAGTCGAATCTGTCTGCAGTTTGAAGAAAACGGAAGTCGTATACGGTTGTTGTTTACATCAGAGCCCGAAACGAACCGCCGGTTTCAGTTTTGGGTGCAATTTGATTTAGGATTCTATTTTCAAAAACTTTGTTGTCTTCGTCAGGGCCATTAAGTACCACGAAAATCTTCTTCAAACAGTCCACACCTTTCTTTCTCTAGCTGCTCTTATTATTTGTTACACCGTCAACCATCCGCACACTCATTTTGTCAAAGATTTGAGGAACGATTTACACCTGGAATATATGTGTATTTAGAAAAAAAAACGTCGACTCTAGCTAACGCTTAAAATGTTCAAGAAGAGTTAGCAAAAACTTCTACCTATACGCCTTCCTTTTTGTGAAAGTTAGCCACAA